ATGTTAAACTTTTCTTGTTGCAAAATAATTATCATCAAAATGTTCCCTGTGATAAAACGATTTATTCAAAAAGTGTTGATCAGTAACCCGCACAATAATTCGGAAACTCGAAAGTTCTATTAACATGCTTCGGGCGACGATGATTCTTAATTTTTGCTTTAGAATAAAATTCATCACAAGAATTATCATCTACATTTGGAAATTATTACTTGTTTTAGCAAAATATATTCATAGTTACATACTGAGGTAAACAAAGACTGTCGATGGAAAAATCCACAGAAGGCGAAGATTTATTATATTGGAACAATGTCATATTTCCATAAGAGTCAAAATTAAATATATATGCGCCCGACAGACGTTTTACTGTGTGGCGAAATCCGAATGCAGGCTCGAATTCGAAAAAAAACTTATTGCCTACTTACCGTGAAAGTGGAGGCATAATGATTTTGAGAATGCTGTCTCTGGGATGGAAAATTTAGTTTTCATAAGAACTGCTATAGATCAGTATAAATATATAAATACTATTAATTAAACTGAAAGCATATGCAAGAAAACTTGGAATGAGAAATGCATTTAAGTTCTATCAGAACAACGATTATGTTTTAAACATGCAGAGACAGCCACGAATAAAATTGTAGAATAGTGTATTGTAGTGTAGTTCAAGTTCCGTCGAAAATAATTATTCGGTAATTGAATTTATGTTACGTGTTGCGTCTTTATTAGCCATTTTGTTTGTAGAAAAATAATACTGGCTTTGCAAAATGGAAGCTAAAGGGTTTTGATAACTAATAATTCATTTAATATACCAAGAAAATATCTAGACTAAATTTACATTTTTAATAAAAAATCTTTAGAAGCAAATAAATGATTTAATAAAAATGAAGCAACTAACAGAAAGAAAAACACTTTTTTATGGGAGAAAACAATTTTACGAATACAACTTTTTTCGGCAACAGTTTAGCTCACATATATTCTTTCTTTAATAAATTCATTTATACTGCAAATTATGTATTCGTACCTGCTCTCCTAAGGAACTCTTTGTGAATATTCTTTTGGACATTTTACAGATTTCTGATAACGAACATTCTTTAAACAGCCATAATTCGCAATTATAAGTTTCTTTCGACACAGAAAGTGCTTCGGGCATAGGCACTCTAGTGCAGCACCGATTCTCCTCCAATGCATCATAAAAACTGATCTCCAGAAATTCAATTAACTATTAAGCAAATATTTCGAAATTTTAATCTTTAATTTCAATAGTTTATCTTTAATTTCTGTAGTTTCTTCATTAAGCATTTTAAAATAAATGAAGACCGTCACAAAACATCTATTTACAATAAATGAGCTTTTTTTTAATACATTAAAAAATAACGTATTACATTTAGCTCAGTCAGTTGAGTTTAAAAATCAGTTCCACTCAATTAATATTTGAAATAATTTACTTGCAATTCAAAATTTTAAACACATTATATAGAAAGTGCTTTCATAAATGCTGCAACTTGATGAACTCTAGTAGGTAACTTATGTTGTTGTTGTGATTTATCTCAGTCGTCTGACAATAACATCAAGACATGCCCACAAAATTCATCGTGGCAAAGAGATCAAGATTGCGCTTGTGGTTGGTGACAGACACATACAGGTGACAGTATGACTTTGCTCAATTCCGCCCCCCAATTTTGAACGGTGACGGGTCCGAGGGTCTTTCCCTACCACAACCTCTTGAGAGGAGTTTCGGCTCGCCGCAAATTTAGAGTACCTCTATGCCGCACAGGCACTATACATTTATAAACATCCCTGCCTTCTCCGGGATTCGAACTTGTGCCCTTCGGCACGGCAATTAGCATTGCTAACTACTATCCTTGTTGCATATTTCGTAAGTGCACATTTGTATCGCCACCGAGAGAGTGGCTTCTAGAATGGACCAATGGGGTTCCGATAATATTTCTGTCATTCCACATGACTTTTGCCTCTTTTTAAGAAAGATGTTTGAAAATGTTTTGCCAAGCAATTTCTTGTACAAAATAATTAACGCATCGAGCATTTCTTGTGAAAATTTTTAATGCGAAGTTAGATCAAATATAAGCATAATTATATTTGTAAACAGTAAAAGTCTTAGCATTTTTTTATTGAAGGCTATATGAAGATGCTCTACAATCATAGTTGAATTCCTACGCATTTGGTGCATTAAATTTCCCACTAATAGCTGTTCACTCTTAAATGTATTGCCTGCAAAGGAATACTCTTTAAACAGAATGAATTTATCTGATTGAAAACTAATATATACAATTCATTCATATATAACTTTTAATGTTAACAATAGATATAAACAGCTCGTTCACAATATATAATTTGAATTTTACACTTTCAAAATTAAAGGAATACAAGCATTGAAATAATAAAATACTAGATTCATTATAACACTTCCAGTTATACTTAGCTCAATAAAAAAGTTACGCACTTAAATTCTCTTAATTCACACGTGCACGTAAATGCATGATATTCGAGGCTAATTGTAGCTTAAGTCATTTTCTCGATATAAAGATTGATATTATGCAACGAACATTAATCCGAATATTCCAATGCGTGATAAGTTTCGCAAAAGTGACAATTAAGTAAACTTATAAAATGAAAGCACTACCAGATTTTCTACTAAAATGATAGCAGCATTTATACGCTATACGTTTATAACTGTTAAACAAGTGCAAAATAAAACGTAAACAACAGCATTCGTTCATGTGCACACCTTCAAAGATTCAGCATCACAAGAGCAAAATAGAACTTCATTGGTCCATTATTGCAACTCCTCTCTCAGTGGCGATACTAATGTGCATTTGTGAATTATGCATCCCGGTTGGGCGACAGGTAGTTTAATAGGTAATAATATAACTGTTCTAGAAAATTATTAGGATTAATTTGATTATGGTGCAGCGTACAAAGGCAATCTGCCTACGAGAAGGTACGCCTTTGTGCACGGCTTTTAAGGAAAATTGACTCCTATTCACTTTACTCATGATACAGCAGCCCATTCACCAAGGTCTGAAACCAGGTCGAAATGCCAGAGTTAAGCGTTTTCCCCACTAAGCTGCGAGTAGGCTTAAAAATTGCTGCTTTTAAGAAAAATGCCGATGTAAGTAGCCCTTTCCGACAATTCAGGTTATCATAATCTTATATGTAGATGAATATAGCACTAAAAATATGCATATATTCATAAACATTATACTCAAAATTTCAGAGCTAAAACAAAAACAAAAACAAAAAAAACAACAAAAACAAAAAAAATTATAGCATAACACAAAGCGCACAAATCTAACTATCTCAAAGAAAAGAAATTTAAACAAACTTTTCTTCATTTCAGAGATAATCCCTACTCTTCATGCTATTCAAATTCTAAGCTTTGATATGCACGTTCCTAATTAAGCGCTTTAGATGACATAAAAAATTAAACATTCTTGCATTCGGCGAAAAAAACAATTTCCTTGTACTTTGTTACTTCATAAATTTTCATATAACAGACTTTCGGTTTCGCTTCGTATCATCTCCAATAATAATGCAATCGGATAAAAATAAAATATTTTGAATAAAATAAAATAAAGTTTTGACGAGCAAGTTCCTTCCGAAACAACAATTTCATAAGACGTTAAGAAGGATCTCATTAATATACTTATATAATTAAAAAGTTAATTAATCACGATAGGAGGAAGCGTGTTTTAATTAAATTTAATAACCCATTTAATTAGTTATTCGTTAATTAAAGTTTTTATTTTTTAATAGGAGGTGCTGGTATTTTTTCGATGCCACAAGTGCCTTTGAACCTAGGAACTTTTCGCATGGAATAAAAGAATACTTTAACTTGGCGCTCTTGATACCGAATCGTCCGCACAGGGAAAAAAACTTCAGAAACTACACAAAGGGTACACGTGACTTTTCAAGACAGTTTTTATAAGCATCTCGGAAAATATTCCTCGCAGAAAATTGATTTTATCAATATAGCTTTGCTACATTAAATCAGTTAATTATCTTATACGTTTACTATTTTAATAAGGTAAACCGAAGATTGCTACTATTATATTTATCTTAGATTTAATGATTTCTCTTGCATGATGACTGTCTTTCCCATTTAGATTACATACTATATGAAGAACATGGAAATTCTCTAGAAAGGCAACATGGCCTGCTGCGTACCGAACCTCAAACAAAACTAACAAAAAACAGCCGTTTTATACGCATACTCATTACAGGCTCAAAGGAATAAGTTAAGAAAATATCTATAAGGAATAGCATGAAATTATTCAACCAAACTTAATTTTAGAATTATATAAATTCTCTTTCTAATTCAGTATTTTCCTAAATTCAGGCATTTCATGTATATTAACTTTAAGTATTGAAAAAAATGACTTCTGTTTTAAACTTTAACCTCCACCCCCCCTAAAACAGCGTTAATGATTACTACTAAGAATTCTTTTTAAATAAAGTATAAATAAATAGCTTACCTTTTTTGTAGAGGTCACTAACTTATCTTCCAGATATCTGACGTAAGTTCTCGTCAAAGTTATAATAAAAGTTGTTAAACTGATAAATTCAGTTTCTTTTTAAGCGTTACTCAAAGCTAAATTTTTACCCGAAACCATTAACACGTGTCTTTTCAATGCACAATAACATTGCGTAAGAAACTGCGGTCAGTAGGGACTCAACTTCCTTTTTCCAATAAAAGAGAAAGTTTTAAATGCATTGCCGCAAACATTTATGCAACATGCAAAGTTATTCGTGTCCTTTTAATAATAGGTTTTAAAGGACCAAAAAAATCCCGGGAAACGGATCTCCATTACTATCGCGGTTTACTGCACAAGCCTCTGCGAACGACATCCAACGAAATCACGACTGAAGATGCTGTAACCGCCGCGTTTAGTATGTACTTCGCGTTTGTAAACATCTTTGCTTTTGCGAATAAATTTTGATTCCTCTAATTAGCATCCGCCGAAGTGCAGCGGCAACTGCGCACGCGTTCAACACCATCTGGCGGTCCGCTTTTCGCCTGAGGCATTGTGGGTAATGCTTATGGCGGCAGCGTCTTGACAACAGGGATGTGATGTCTCAGTTATTTGACCGATTAATTCGTTTAACTGTTAATAGAGGATGTGTCAATATGCATTCATCAAGAACAATTCATTACTACTCGGCTTTTCTTAGATATGTAGCATTTCAAGTGGTTTTAAATTACATAAAGGAGTTTTGCCGTGCAGTTAGAACCGTGAAATAAGGAAAGGGTAGTACTTTTTTCGCTGTATGTTTGATTTCTAGTGTCCTACTTTCATTATGTATAATACATATTCATATTTTATATATTTTTAGTTATGAATCGTTTTCATTCAGAGCGAGATCCTTGGTAATCCTCTCACGTATTTTTATGAAAACATTTGAAGGAGTGTATTTAAATTAGAAACTTTTTATAGAATTGTTTAATGGGAATTTATTGTGAATTAGGGGATATCCTTTTATTCTTTCAGACGAATTAGCTCGTATATTTGTTAGAAATCAAGCAGGTACTAAAGTACTATTAGCTTGTATATTTGTTGGAAATAAGGCAGATACTAAAGTACTAAGTGTAAATAACTACTTCAGTGGAATTTTTGTAAATTTCGCATTCTTTTCAGCAGTCGGTAATAAATGCTTGAGGTTTGTAAATTTATGAAAAAAAAACGCAAACCCATTGATTCAGTTTTGCACTAAATGTTATTTCACGACATAAATTTAATGACTTTTTATAATTTAGCTGATTTTGAGACTAGTAGTTTGTAAAGACATTTTGAGTATATTTTATTGAATATTAATTGTCATGAAGTGTGTGTTGCACTAAAATAATTTTCTTGTTTTAATTTAATTTCATATTTCCTTTTTTTGTTCCTAAGATTTATTTCCTTCAAAGCTTATTTTCACTGCATTTAAATTATAAAATTTGTTATTTTAACTTTATATCTGTTTCCTTTAATTTGTGTTGAATGAAATTTAATGTGTTTCTTAAATTTAATGTTTTTCTTTTCATGAATTAATACGAGAAATTTCCTTTTGTGTATTGATTCAACTTAAAACATTTTAGATGGAAGACTTTTAAATATAAGCTGATATGAAATTTGAATGCAAGAAACCTTTTATAGCTAAATATTCGGTTAATCTTTGGATTATGGTAACTTGGCGATTTTTGGGCGAAAATTTGGCAACCAACCCTGCTACAACAAGCTGCTAGTTTGTTATGGACGCCATTTTGTTTTCACGAAGTAAAGGCATGTTTTTTTTTACTCAGCACTTTTTCCAACAATCTGCTAGCCGAATTACGCTTATACTAGAACTTTTATGGAACAAAAATGCTTAATCATGACGAAGATTAGCTGCGAAATTGGGAGAAAGTGCAGAATCGCAAACTGCTTGCCGCGTTTTTAAGAATTTGCACATACACGGTATCATCCATGTACACGTCGACCTATTTTCACTTAAAAAAACATCCCAGAATTGCACAAAAATGGCATTGCGCACACTCTTGACTTTATCCATGTACACTATTAAAGTCCTAGCTAGTAACTTTTATCGCCTTACCAAAATGTCGCCAAACTACGTGTTACCATATTCCAAAGGTTAGCCAAATATTCTTTGCATGTCTATGAAAATACTTTTGTGTTTGAGATTTTAAAGTAAGAGTTTCAATATTCAGACGAAAGTATATGGTATAAAGCTTGAATGGAGGGCTGGGATACCATTTGCTTTTTCTTGCATCCAGTGGTATTGCTGTATTCAGTTCTTAGACAAGTCTAAAACATAATGCCCATAAAACTTAATAGACATTTTACTTGCTATTAGGAAGAAGTATAGCTTAGTATTTTTAGAATTTTAAATGCATCATTCATTGGACCTCATTGCTATGAAATTTCGAAAAAAAAATTATGGTAGAATTCCATAAAATAAAATGATCTATAAAAATATGTTTCTCAAGAGTCTTTTAAATTAGTAATCCTGTGCTTCTGTTTAATGAATTGTCAAATATAAATCTTGTGAAATAAAAATATTATTCTTATTTTTGCATGTAAAATCATCTAGACTGAATTTTGTATGCTGTCTTGAATGGGAAATTTAATAATTTTGCCTTAATGAACTGCTTTACAGATTATTTTAAAGAAAAAGTTAGTTTGTAAAGACAGGTAATATTAGTTTAGTCTTCTGTAATTTTATTCTGTGTGTTATTGACAACCATCACCAGTTTTTTTTTTTTTTTTTAACTTCAATGAATGTATTATGTTAGCAGAATCATTAACAATAGAAACTTTAAAACATTCTAAAGAAACCAACCAATAAAAAAATATCCTGACTTTAATAATAATAAAAATAATAAATGGTTAGTCTATTACTTTTCAAATCTTAAAAAAATTTTAACAGATAACGGTAAAAGAAATAGGGTTAAAACTAATGAAATAATAAACATTGCTATAAACATGGTTTTATGAGAGGGAAGATGTGTTTAAGTAATTTTAATATAATTTAGTCAAAAAGCTGAATTTTTTAAATTATGCAAGAAAGGTAAAAATTTTAAATGGCAAATAATATAAAATGAAACATGGCCTTCTTTGGTTTCTCAACCCCCAGTGTGGCTTTAACATTGCATTGGGTTAATCTTTGGATTATGGTAACTTGGCGATTTTTTGGTGACCAACTCTGCTACAGCAACCCTCTATTTTTTTTTCCGCCGCCATTTTGTCTTCAGGAAGTAAGGACATGTTTCTTTTCTTTTTATTTACTCAACAGTTTTTCCAACAATCTGCTAGCCGAATTACACTTATGCTAGAAATTTTATGGAACTAAACTGCTTAATCATGACAAATATTAACTGCAAAATTGGAGAAAAGTGCAGAATCGTAAACGCCTTGCCGCGTTTTTCAGAATCGCACATACACAGTAACCATGTACACGTTGACTTATTTTTACTTAAAAAAACATCCCAGAATTGCAAAAAAAGGCATTGCACACACTCTTGACTTTATCCATCTGCACTGCTATTTTCTCATAAGTTACAAAAATTTGCACGAAAATGCAGGAAAATTTTGTGAATCTTTAAACTTGGTAAAAAGCACATATATGGAATTACATGATCGCAAAAAAGTATATACCCTTTCCAAGGATGAACATTTCCACGTATAATATAATAAATATCCCAAAAAACTTTATCTCTAAATTATCTATTATAAAACGTCACCAACGAATTTATAACAAACATTAAAATGGTTACAAATACTTAGTGTCAAATATTTAAATTATTTCCATGCACGTTTACTTCCACTGAAACGTATACCAAATTGCTACAAATATATAATTCACAAATAACTGTCATTTAATTAAAATATAATTAAACCATGTACACGTCGACTTATTTTACTTAAAAAAACATCCCAGAATTGCACAAAAGTGGCATTGCGCACACTCTTCACTATATCCATGTACACTGCTTTTTTCTCATAAATTAGAAAAATTTCACGAAAATGCATGAAAATTTTGTGAATCTTTAAATTCGGTAAAAAGACATATATGAAATTACCTGATCGCGAAAAAGTATATACCCTTTCCAAGGATGAGCATTTGCACGTATAAAATAAATAAAATATCCAAAAACTTTTCCCTCTAAAATATCTATTATAAACATCACCTGCCAATTTATACCGCATACATTAAAAATGGTTCCAAATACTTAAATTCTTTCCATGCACATATACTTCTACTCAAACATATTCCAAAATACTACAAACATATAACTCTCAAAATCACGATCATTAAATTAAAATATAATTAAAAAAACACTACTTAAAATATAAATAAGCACATACATTAAATTAATAAAAATTAGCTCACAATCCTAATTACTTTAAACTAAATCATTGCTAATAACAATTTTCCTATAATACCATATTAATTTATTTACTCCTTACATTTAGAACAATGCATAAAAATAATATCCTCAAATAATTAAAAATACTAACTTACCTAATCTTCTACAGAATCTTAAGTGCATGGCGGATCACAAAATGTCCATTTTCACCAGATTTCTTGCACCGCCATTCAAACTTATCTGTAATATCCTTCCTTTCACGCAATGTCATTTCATTCCCACATGTTGGACATTCATACTTATCTGCAATTAAGCAATTCTTTTCAAATTACACATAAACGCAATAAAAATTTCGGATTTACTTTATATAGGGCCATGGGATCCAAATATTAAACAACACTGTTTCACAGAACATAGAATGAAACTAACGCTATAAAGTACAGCAGATATTTTTACAAATTTACTCCCTTTTCCGATTAAAGAACAGTGATTCGTCCATTAATGTCACATGACATATCTCACACAAAATAATGCGTAATCAGAACTGAGTACTTCTCACATTATTCCCAAAGTCCTAGGTAAACCTTTATCGCCTCCAAAATGTCGTCAAACTACCTGTTACCATATTCCAAAGATTAGCCTTGCATTGTAATAGATAGTGGTTTTTATCCAAATTCAGAGTATTATATTCAGCATAAATTTTAAACACTAAAATACAAATATTAAATACAGATTGGCAAAGCCTGAGTTTCACACCCAAGAGAGCCGCTGATAATCTAATAAATCTACAAAGTCAAAAGCAGTCTAAAAATTGACATGATTAAACATTTATAAATTTAAAATCCTTAAGGCAGTATATATATGTATGCGTGCATGTGTGTGTAATAACTTAGAAAAGTGGGTGGCATCATAAATGCGTAATGAAGAAGAAACTTGCAGAAATGAGCGAATTTAATTATTTTTTTATTCATACTTGACATCCAGTTTTCATTAAGCCAACACTAATTAAATGGGCAGCATATCACTTTGTTCTTAAAGGATATTTTATATTGTTACCGATAAACTTGCAAAACAAATTTCAAGAAAGACTGCAAGTTGGTAATAATGAATTGGTAAGCAAAATGCGATGCATTCAGAAGGAAACACTGGGAAAGACAAAAGGAATTTCGGCTCTTGAAAAATTTATTGCTTATAACATATCCATACTACAGTGTTACATAAGATGGCATGGAATGTATTAGTTTGGAATGGCACAGTTTAGATTAATGTATTATAAATAGTTACCGTTTTTAGGTCAGAAACAGGAAATACCAAAGTTAAAATTAATAAGAGAGCCTATTGTGATTTAAAATCAGAAGTTTACATATTTTTAGCTTGCACACACACACACACATATACTATATGCAATAATTTTGTAA